ATGGATACGAGCCCAGCAGTTACGATACGTAGCCGAGGTGAGGAACAACGGTCACCGTTATCATGGTGACCAGCAACGATGCTTCTAGTTGTCCCCATTATGTTTGCGCTTTTTGACGTGTTCTACCTATGGATCGTCATATTCCTAGATGGAACGAGGTTATTTTGCTATCAGTTTACTTAAAGTCAGCTTGAGATCCTGGCTGCATTATTCGCAAGCTAGTGATGAATAACTGCGAAAGATGATCGTCCATAGAGGTGGTTCTCGTATCACCACTGCAAAATTAATGCAGTTGTGTAACACTGTTGTACTTCATGGAAGGCGAACTGCATAAGAAAATGTTTTCTGCTAAAGTTAGCCTAACTAGCTCATCTCGCGTGATAAATCTGAAATGTACAAAGTAAACAGAAGTCACTGACGATTTTTCTGAATGCAATTTGTATAATATATTCCGTGGATGTTATCTCATTCTTTAAGGAGAACCAAAAGCTTTGAAATAAGCTAAAGTGCCATTTTGCGGTTAATCCCTCGAAAGCCAGCAAGAAAACGCGAATTGATTATGGTCCGTGAGCTTAAAATTTTGCTGAAATAAACAGAGTGCAAAAGCAGCATATCACCGGAAGACGCAAACGGATTAGACTGGCCTCCCGTAGAAGTTATAACTCGGAAAATCCTATATTTTTGGCGAAAATAATTAAGGAGTTCTTCTGGTGCGTGGCGTAAATTGGGGTAACAGTAGCTTCCTTCAAAGTTGAGGGAGGTTTGGCTTCGTCCAGTTGATTAAATACCAGGTGGAAATGCTGTGCAGGTGTGATTCTTGGACAGATTTCGTTTGGTCTGAATGCGTCGAAAGGGTTTTTCCTGTGCAACAGTTAAAGAACGTCCTCCTCAGTGAAGACCAGTTTGCTTGGAAGTCGTTTTCAGTTACGATTAAACGAGACTGAATGAGAATTGGTAGCTGAGGCAGAGCACCAAACTGCATTTAGTCTTCTGGAAACCCTAGACGTCACACTTACAGTACTTGTGAGCTCCCTACGTCTGCCCCTCAAACAGAATACGGTTGAGTTATTCCTTCGACGGTGTCTCACGTTCTTAAACAGAACATTTTGTTCTCTCGGGCGAGATCCCGCTTCCCGACCGGCTTTCGTACGTTCCGCTGGCGGGTTCGTAGCGGTTTTTGCATCCTACGAAATACCACATCGTCTTTTGTGCCACCTGTAGCTATCTCCTGATATAATATTGGCACCCCTTTTTTCAAAGGACGCCAAATATCTCTAGACAGATTTCAGAACATCCGACAGCTATCTTCTACGTTTTCGTCCCTCGAGAATAAGGCGATTGACTTATCTCGATGTCTCATGTACTATAATATTCCATTTTTTGTTCATTAGGGCGAAGTCGCGGATTTTGGCTTGTTTTCTTTCGTTCCATAGGCGGATTTCTTGTTTACTGCGGTTCCACACCTTACGGAACGTTTCAAGAGGACGCCCAACCTCTTTGAATAGCTCATGGTCCGTTCGACGCTGCGCTGGTTTCTTTCCAACGAACACGTTTTCAGTCTCGTCAACTTTCTTATCGGTGTTTCTCTACTTCCCATCATCCACGGCTGACCGCATTTTAAGGTGGGCAAGAAATACACACACGACAACAGCTTTCGAAGCGTAAGTTGTTAAAATAAGGCTTGTGTTTTCGTGATTATCGAGAAAAGATAGTTTTTGGCGTGCGAGATGGCCTGCTTGGCCCTTTCGAAAGCAGTGATGGCGGCGGGGGCAAGGTGAAAGATGTTTCTTTTGAGCAAAGTTAATCAGTTAGTGGCTCTAAAATATCTGCACGATGAGGAGTGAACCACCGATAATAGCTGATGATATTGATAAAAAGACGAATTTGGGGGATAGTGGTGGGTATGGGAAAAGACTCCAGGGCCAAAATGCGATCGAGCAAGGGATAAATGCCGGTTGGGTCAATGTAGTGTCCAAGAAAATCTAGGTCAGTATGACGAAACAAGCAGTTGTCAATGTTTAAAGTTATGTTGTAAGTCGAAAGACGTTCGAATGCTGCCATGAGATGGTCTGCAGCCTTAGTTAGGGAGGTGCTAGTGATTAAAATATCGTGTAGATAGGCATACACAAAAGGCAAACGGGTAAAACTGCGTTCATGAAGCGTTGAAACTTTTGAGCTTCATTTCAAAGACCAAAGAGGGTACGCGTGAATTCAAAAATGAAAAACGGTTTTGTGGCAGCTGTTTTGGAGATGTCAAACGGGGCTACGGGTATATGGTGGTATACTCGTACGAGGTAGAACTTGGAGAAAATGTTTGCGTGGCATAAAGTAGTTGCGAAATCGTGGATATGTGGGATGGGTCACCTGTCTGGGATAGTGGTGTCATTGAGAGAACGGTAATCTCCACAGGGTCTTCAATCACCCAAGGGTGACGACCAGTGACTCGATGAAGTGCGGATGATTCCCGGTTCGAGCATGTGTTCGAAATCGTGTTTTGCGATCTGGAGCCTATCCGGATGAAGCCAACCGTAGTTGGTAGAGGCAGGGGGACTTGTCATCTGGATGTGGCGAACGACTGAATAGTGACCGGTTGGGTGTACTGATATGGATGAGTAAGGGTCGGAAAACCCCTAAGTATGTCAGCAAATTGTGAATCCGGTAAGATAGCTCGGATACATGTGGATGAAGTTGGTGCACTATTTCCGTTGACTGAGAGGAAAGTTAGCATATCCAAGAGGCGTTTGCGCCAAACATCGACTGATAGGTTGTAGCTGGTCAGGACGTCTGCACAAATTGTGGGTGTTTGGACGTCGGCCAAAATGAAGACCCACTTGAACGCACGCCGCAATCCGAGGTCAAGGGTGAGGGAACGTTCGCCGTATGTAACGATGCAGGTACCGTTAGCAGCTTGTGACGAATAAGATGTGGAATCGGGAAGTGGATAGCACACCAAGTGTTAGCACACTGACTTTAGCTGCCGCGTGTAAGAGGAAACGTGGACCAATTGAACTATCGGTGGCGTGAAAAAGATGACTTGTGAATAAAGGGCAACAGACGTTCGTCGCCATTACTGGCTGGCCGGGCTGTTTAAAGGACTGTTAGAACGCGGCTTGAAGGAAAAACGCGGTTGACATTCGCGCGCTTTCGGACCGGAAGATTGGTGATACCAGAACCAAGAGGGACGGGTACGAGACAACCATTGAGAGCATGAACGTGATCGATGCTTGTTGATCTCCAGACGTTGCAGTCGATCTGTTAAGGTAGCAAATTTAGCCATACCAGATGGTATGTCACCCACAAGGTGGGAATATACATTATTATTTATTATTATTATAGTTGCGAAATGGAAGCTGGAATTGTAATGGAATCCGTGAATGTAGTGGGCATAGGGCGGAAGACGGGGTTAGCGAGGTTAATCTGATAGGTCTCGTATATGCCGTCCGCCATTTGGGTTAGCTGCACCAAGCTGTGGTCATCAAAGAAGACACTGATGACGCAGGACATGGGGGTTGACGTTTATCGAGCCATAGTTGCCCCATAATTTTCACCGCTGGTTCACGGCCGAAGAGAAGACCGCGCATATAGCCAAGCAGTTGTGACGGCGACCTGTCACCAAGTTCGACTGTGGTGAATGAATCCCATAGCATTTTGTTTTCGGACTTTCCTGTCCCACAGATGACGGCCGCTCGAAGGGCGTCACAGGGGTTTTCCCACAGATCTTCCACTCCCGTTCCTACATCACAAGGAAGATGCTGGATGGCAAAGTAAAGACGGGTGTTTGGGAAGTGACGCGTCGTGTAGTGAAAACAGCATCGACTTGGCGAAATCACACCCGGGGATTCCGGAGATCATAATCTGGTGTAGGAATACAAGGTGCATTCTCGACCATATCCGATTAATCAAAGTGCGACTACATAATGACCGGGCGTTTGAAATTAGGAATTGAAAAGAAAAGTTCCGAAAAAATGTCTGGAAGGACTCGGGCTCACCAAAGCTGTAGGGGTCTGGTCACCCAATAATTTACCTTACAAGGACCGTGAGGCAAAGAAATAAAAATAATAACGCAAGATTGATTATACAATAATAAAGAGTTCAGATGGAACAGACTCACTAATAACTGTTCGTCGTCTGCACAGGTGAACGAATGAACAATAATCCAAACATGGTTTTCCGAGGTCCTCTTCTGAACACTGCATATATAATAGATTCCGAAGGTAGTATGGAAATTTTTTTGATAGCAGAGAGAAATCAGAAGAGAGAATCGAAGCACGTGACCACGTTTGCATTGAGTGAAATTGCACAAACGCGCGTTTTTTAGTTTTCTGCATTCAAACAAAAACGGATATGCAATTGACAGAAAATACGTAATGGTATAACGGAAACAAGATACATGTACAAAACACCGCACTCGTGAGGCTCATCACACCCCCAACTCTACTGTCCTTGCTAGCCGAGGGTGTGCTACACAAACTTGAGCCTTACAGGGCACAAGGGAAAATCCTTCACTGGAACAAGGTGTTCCTATCAGACAGATCATTCCAAGTGAGAATAGGCTCGACCTGCTCTTCTCCAGCACCGGTCTCCATTGGAATGCTTCAAGGCTTCGTCCTGGGACCACCGCTGTTTCTGATCTACCTAAACGACCTTCCAGATGTTTTTGTGAGTCCATGACCACTGTTGCTGACTATTTGAAATCCTGGAGTTCCGATGCCAGCGCCCTCCAAATGGATGTAGACGCTGCCAAGCAGTGGTCGTTGGACTAGCACCTTCCTCTGAATGAAGAAAAGTGCGTCCATATGTCGTTTGGAGGGGATTCAGCGAATGCCCTTGTTATGCATGGTGAAAATAGACCAGAAAACATCACGAGGATAGACGCCCAAGAGGATTTGGGTATCTGGCTCTCCTCAAACTTGTCTTCCTAATTGCATCATGAGAAGTCGGCCCAAAAGGCATTCGCCATTTTAAGTGTGATTCGAATTACCTTCTCCCGTGCTGCTCGCATGGATTTCCTAACACTCTATGGGGTCTACGTCAGACTGTTCCTTGAATACTCCAACCAAGTTGTCTACTCAGGGCGCACGAAAGACGTCGCCCTCATTGAACGCGTCCAGCGAGCCGCTACGAAAATGATTGCCGGCCTCAAATGCGTGGATTACGATACCCGTCTCGCGATGCCTGGTCTCTTTCCCCTGGCGTATCGTCGCCTTCGCGGGGACCTAATTCTTACTTATGTCATGTACGAACAAAACTTGGCCAACAGGTTTTTCACCGTTGACCCAGCAAACACACAGTGGTGAAGTGGTAAGTAGGTTTTCTAGCGCAGAGCGCATGCATTCATCAGGCAAAATTTTTCTCATTTTAGGTGGTAGCTGCGTGAAATGGCCTTCCTCCGACCGTTGTTCACGCTCCTTCCAGAACCCAGTTTAAAGCACCATTAGACATTGATTTATGCGACTCCTCGAGCTGGCATGCATACTGCCCTGCAGTGAGAATATAAAGTACAGTTCTAAACCCTTTTTCACTTGTGCCTTTCAGGCGAACGACAGCCGCTGCACGACAAGAACAAAACTGACCGGGCAACTTGGGAAAAATCCTCGATCCATTTAATCAATCCCTAAATCCGTGAATCCGTGAACTGCAATCTGGATTTGCGCACGATTGTATTGGTACACATTTAAGTACACACGGGACCATATCTACTATTAACTCGTGCTCAGCTGATCCAAGTGAACGCTTGTCTTGCGCCCCCTTCTAGGGCAGCTTTGGTCCTACTTTTGTGCTTCCAGCGGGCGATGCTCGGATATGCTATTGATCATTGAATACTGACGGCCTACGCCGAGATCCTTTGTACGACGACTGGGGAGGAAATTTTTATTAGAAGCCGAAAGTTCACTTGCTTCCAATTCCGCGTAGCCATTCCTAGTGAAGTTACTCACATTCAAGGTTTGTTACGACAGCACCAACGTGCCACTACGCCAGTTTTGTTGGCATGATTCTTCAGAAGAACCTCCAGATGGTTAGCTTGGAATCGCTCATTCACCTGTCCATTAGAGAAGCAGTTTTTGTCTCGATTACCTTATCAGAGACCTGATTGGCCTTCTTCGCAACCAGAGGACCCGGGGTGAAGATCGCTAGCTATTCGTTCAGGGAGGAAGGTTCGTTATCCGTTTTCGCCTAAGTCACTTCGTTCTTTGTCAGATTCGTCAAAGGAGGTACCAGTTTTTCTTCGAAGGTCCCGATTAAAGAGCAGTGCTATACCCTCTTGTGGTTTGTGCTTTTCAGATGGACGAAGGCCGCTGGACGACTAGGTATACCCGATCCGGGTAGCTTTGGTGAAAGTGTGCATCCGCAAATCCGTGTCTTTTGTTGTGGCGTCTTTTGTTGTGCCTTTCAGGTGAACGACAAGAACAAAACCGATCTGAGAAACTTGGGCAAAAGCCTCGATCCTGTGTATCAATCCGTGAATCCGTGGGCCAATCACAAGTCTGTTGTGTCCGACGCAGGTAACCTCTCCGTTGTGGTCTTCCGGCGCTTTTGTTATCTGAATGTCTGTTAGTTGAAATACTTAAATTTTGGAATGATTCTTGGCTTTGTTCGAGCAGTTTTATGTGGAAGTACAACACTTAAAGCCTCAGCACTACTTACCACGGTGCTCAAACAGAAAGGATTGCCGCACTGGAGTGCCTTTTTCGTTCGACAATGGGATGTGATTGACGATCACTTTGGAATGTCGCACTTCAACTTCGTTGTTGACGATAGGAATTACGAGATTTTGCGAACTGGCTGCTTCCCGCTTATTAAATACCATTGCACGCATTGCCGGCCGAGTGACTTAAGATCGAGCAATAGGTTTTATTTCTTTCTAAAGGTATTGAACCTCGGTGAGTGGATTGTCACCTTGAAGTTACCGTATACTACAACAGGGATACCTTCTTTGCTATACGGACTTACGGGTCTGTTGATGGCTTCTCAAAGGGAGGTCGTTTGGACCAATACAGGACCAGTTGTCATTTACTTGTGGTATGAAGAGAATAAACATTCTCGTCATTACCTGTTGTTCTTGATTGATCAGCATAACATCTGCGTTATTAATATATTTCCTTTCAGGATATGGCGGACACGCAGGAGGCCTACTACCCGATAGCTGTGTTGATAGAAGAGTTGAGGAACGAAGACCTACAGTTGCGACTGAATAGCATACGGCAGCTGAAAACAATTGCGCTTACTCTTGGACCAGAAAAAACCCAATCCCAACTCATTCCCTTTCTAAACGACACCATTTGTGACGAAGATGAGGTCCTGTTTGCTCTTGCGGAACAGTTGGGAACACTCGTACCCTACGTCGGCGGTCCTGAGCATGCTCCGTCACTTCTTCCGCCGTTAGAAAATTTCGCGGCGGTAAGTTTGGAGTAAAGTTTCGTACCGTGAGGTCTTTTAGTGTTGTACGTAGAGAGTTGGTCAAGTGGGCAGCAGGTTGCACCGATAACAGAGGTTGAACTCGGAATGCACGTGTGATGCGTTATTTCATTTAGTACGAGCTGAGTTAATACATACGAATAGTGTTGAGTAGAATTCGCAACATGACCGGTCAGTTTTTTAATACCACGCCAGCCGTACGTTGAGGTGGATTTCAGTTTGCTGTAGTTTTGAACAACTAAAACTCTTCACAAAGGTGCTTATCTTCTCATCCGTCGTGATCTTGTAAGCTGTTGTTTTCCTGCCAGTTGTTTCAGCTCGACTGTCGTTTACGCTGACATTTGGAGCAAACGCATTGGTGTGGTTCTTTTTGCGGAAACTAAATGAGACTGGTTGAACGTTACCATCGGTTTCAAGTAGAAAAAATTACTTACACTTGGAATCCCTGTTTCTGTTAGAAGCGTTACTCCTGCTCATTATAAATTAAATGAGTATTTCACGAATAATTGGCACGGTTCAACTCGAAACTCGACACTAACATGATTGCCCCCGGTGCCGGCTCCCGGATTGGAACGAGAAGCCTTTAGTCATTGCCTGCAAATGTTAACAGCAAGACCATCCTCATTGATCGTCTCACAATCTAAAAAAACGCAACCAACCTTTTAAGTTGTGAAAACAGTCTTCACCTTGGTTTTTCTACTGTAGGTGTGACGACGTTCCACACCCACTCAATCAAATGTTTCCTGGACAAACACATCGACGTAAACGTTTTCGCAGAATTTTCTATGAATTTTTGTGCTGGAGCGTCGTGATTGGGGTTTTCAGGTAACGATCAGGGTATATTGTCCCTCAAGAATTTGGTCATAGTAGCCGGGTGACTATGTTGCATCAGTTTCGCGCGACGTAGGCTACGACGGCCATTTGGAGAGTTGAGATGGAATTTTGACTTCAACTTTTGGTTTTGCAAGTTTTGGTTTTAAAAGAACCTACTTCGACGAAGAACATAACTCATAAGGTGGCGGAAACCATCACACGGCAGGTTTTGGTCTTTATGAGGCTTATCAAATGATTACAATCTCCTCGTTCCTGACGGCTTTATGTTCTGCTCAAACCCAAATTGTACGCAATGTGCGAAATGCACTCATTCGCAAACTCATTTTTTGCCAGGAGACTCAGCGGAGTAATATCTTCCTTCGAGGCAATATCCTGCGATGTTTCGAATGTCGTCCCAGATGAGGCATGAAGCGGCCTTTGTGCGCACGTTCATTTCGAGAATACCATAAATGAGAGATTCATATGAGATTAGTTGACAATCCCGTTAAAACCCAAAGTATCTTGCAACTGAGTGCTTCGTGTCTGGTTCAAGTCCGTGTCACCAACACGTGGGTTTTACGATAGACTTTATTCGCTATTGAACGCACTGTTGATCGCTCAGTTTTTGCAGTTTTTACTTTTCTGTTTGCTCCGGATCAGGCTTGTTGATGCCATTCCAGTCAGTACATCTTCTGCAAGGCTTCCTTATGGCTTAATACTATCGACCTGAGTTGGCTGAGGACCTTCCGTGACCAGACGGATGCGATGGTTGCAATGGTGATTTTGATGACAATTTATCACCATCTTCAGCCCTAAAACCTCGCCCACTTGCTGCAAAGTAGTTTTAGACGCCACAATTTTGTTCACAGATAATTTGCGGAAGTGTGGCTAGATAGCAACGCATGGGATGCGGCAGCTGATATGATTGATGAGATAGACTGGACCCGTCACGCAGAGACGACCTTACAGTGGTTTGACGGATTGTAGTCCTGCGTGACCCGTTGAGCCACACTAGGTGGTTGTCATTTGACACACCAAGTTGGTCAATGGTTAAAGGTCCGAGTAACACAGTCTTCTGGCCCTGCAGGTTGGGGGTAGGAACATTTGTGATGACTTCTGTAAGAATGGTAATGTACTTGCATTTCCCACCAAACACTACTGTCCTGCGGTTTGGCTTTTGAGCTAAAGACTTTGGTTGAGGACACTAATCGTCTTTCTGTCTAGGTATGGGCGCCCTGGCAGTATCCCAGCTCACGTACAAACATGACACTTACAACTAACAATACTCACGCCACATCGGCCACCGCGCGGGGTCACCAGCCTGGTTGCTTTACTTGCTGCATACAGCAGGTCTGCAGGTCCCAGCACTATGACTGACCGCCGACAGGGCTGTCCTCTCTCACCTTTCCTCTTCAACTTCGTCATTGATACGATCATGGAAGACTCACTGCCAGCCTCTAATGCCTGTGGGGTTTAAGTGCTCCCTGGGCCTCCGCTCACAGACATCGAGTACTCAGACGACATAGCTCTTCTGGGATCTGACCCCGTGGTAATGCGTTCAGCTGTAACACCCGGTGCCTAGCTGCCATGCTACCCAAAGGAAGCACGAGGGCTTGCATACTGCCAGGTTGCCCAAGCCTAGACAGGGGAAGTCGAGTGGCGGAGGTCGGATTCGAACCACGGACCTTCCGGTCAGTAAATTCG